CTTTTAACACCCACACTTTCCCTTAGTCCCATTTTTCCCTCTCCCTACCTACCTTTTCAGCTCCCCCATAGCTCTGGCTCCAGTCCCAGACTTTGTGCCGGCATGCTTCCCTGTTCTGCAGGCTTTGGGCGTTGTCTTTTAATCAATTAAGATCAATTAACCTCCAGGAGCCTCAGTTCTTCAGTCCAGGCCCCTCTAGTCTACCGGTTCTAATCCCGGTCCCGGTGACTTTCATTTCCAGTAACTTTAACTCCCTACACTTCTACTTTCTTACCTTAACCTTTCCCCAGGTATCCCAAGTACACCAAGCACATGCATACATACACATCACAACACCCAACTTAGGGACTCACCTGTGTGTATGTGTAGGTGGATGGTATGTGTGTGAATTAGTGAATACACATATATATACATATATAGATAGCATAGTGTGTGTGTGTGTGTGTGTGTGTGTGTGTGTGTGTGTGTGTGTATGGCATTGAGTGCATGATATATGAATTAGTGATCTGTGTCTAACTTTTGGGGTGTATAGTGTATGTGCTTGAATTGGTAATAGGTATGCATGTGCCTAGGCTGGTTTGAATGTGTATGTGCCTGAGCTGGTAGTGTGCGTGTGTATGCACCTAATTGATTTGTGTGTTTGTATATGTGCAATTGTGTTACGCCTTCCTGTCAGCGCAATATTGAGATCCTGAGAGTTGGCCTGACCCCCCCCAGGGCAACATACCGATGTTTAAGCTCAAACCCACTGAGCTTTCATTCAGGTGGCAGAGATATTTCAGAGCAATGCTGAACAAGGCCTAAGTTCTGGTAACAAGAGAGATCCAAGTATCCCTTTATGCTTGTTTTTATGCTTTTCCTTCCATACCCCAGACTTCTTTCAGGCAAAACTATACCTGTCCTTTATGTTGGTGTCAAAGTTCTTGTTTTGCATTTTTTTTTTCAAAGATGTACCATATTACTAATTAAAAATCAGCCTAGGGAAAGTCTCTTATATTTTCATCAGCAGAGTGCAATTTACCCATGAAACCATATGAAATAGGTAACTGCAGTCACCCTGGTTACTACAGTGTAGTAGGGCTGTGCGAAATTTCAGTAGCCGTTTCGTTTCGAAGGTGTTGCAGGCCATTTCAGTGAAACACCGAATCCGAATCGAAACAGAAGGCTGCAATACATGTCGCAAATGTTTCAGAGAATGTCAGAGCTTCAGAGCCGGGCTCGCAGGGAAACAAAAACTAAGAGGGAGAGGAAAGTGTGTGGGGGAGGACTACTCTGATATTGATATCTAGCTCCCGGTTCATTTCCCCAGCTCTCTGATCATTTCCCCAGCTCTTCCTGGGGGGGCTGCAGGCCACCAATCTACGCGTGGGGTTTCAGCAGGCTGCTACTGCAGGCTGGGGCAGGAAGACTGCAGTGCAGCGGCAGCCTGCTGAAACCTAGCACACAGATCTGGGGGGCCACACCCCACAGGAAGAGCTGGAGGAATGATCAGAGAGCTGGGGAATTGAACCAGGGGGCTAGAGAATCCCTGCCACGCGACCTGGCTCCACAGGGAGCAGAAATCCAGGCCGGGGTCTCTTCGCCACCGCTGCCCGCCCCGTGCAGCCCCATGTTGCCAGGGCAGCATGGGGCGGGCAGCAGTGGCAAGAAGACCCCTGGCGTGGATCTCTGCTCCCTGTGGAGTCGAGTCACATGGCAGGGACCAGCAGGCTTGCTCCCTGCTCTGCGCTGCTTCCCTGCCCCGCGACCCAGCATGACAGGGATCAGAGACCCATGCGGGGGTCTCCTTGCCTGCATGGAGGGCAGCAGCCCTCCCCCAGACGAGCCACCCATAGCCCCGTCCTGCTCCCCTGCTGGGGCCCCAAGACCCCGGCCCCAAGCCCCACCCAGCTGAGTAGGGCTGTACAAAGCTTCCCTTTCCTGTTTGAAATGGTGTTGGAGGAGATGCGGCAGAGCCAAATGCCCAAAACAGATTCAGCCGAAGCGAAACAGGAGAGTGACACGAAACACCAGAACGAATGACTCTCCTCCAAAACAGAAGAATCCAAAATCAAATCAAAACACATTCGCACAGCCCTAAATTGTAGGCATTCTCAAACCAGCTTCAAACTGTGGTTCACATACCAGTAACAGTTTAGCTACTGCACAACAGAGGTCAGCATGGACTAAAAAACTTGACCAAAAAACAGGGTTAATTAGTTGATACGGATTTGTGCTGCGCTGACTGCTACCAATAGCCCAAATTACCTAGTTTAAAGCTGTCTATGTCAACATTACACTGCAATCAAAGCAGTGATTCCTGTAACAAAACTACACACATACCATGATTTGGAGAATAAAAACAAATCCAAAGCCTTTGATAGGCAAGTTAATGGGAACAAAACAAAAATGACATATTGAAACAAAGATTCTTGTAAGCACTACTTGCTAATTAGAACTACACTTCCTCTTTCTCTCCATTTTATGGGATCTCATTTGCATTTAGAAAAGGGAGTACCAATTTAAACTTTAGCTAGTTTCATAAACACAAGATATATGTAACCTGTGTCCCAAATAAGTCTCCGATTTGTGGTCCTATAATTATATTTTAATTTTAAAATATTTTCCCTCCTTTTTGCACTATAAAAAACTCAAGCTAACAAAAATAATTAAAAGCAATTTACATTGGAAATAATAGAATTGGTCATAGAGGAACATAAAAAAGAAAAACTGAAATACCCTATAACTATGCTACTCGATGTTTCAACGGCATCAAAAGTTCCATTAACATTTGACTAAAAATGTATCTCTATACCCTTGTACACAGAATTTTGCATGTAAATCTGCAGATAGCCAGGGCATTTACAACATTCATCCAAGTCATCTTAGCTGAAATTTTAAAGAAAATCCTAAAGGTGTTAAGAAAAATCCTATCACTGCACGTGAATTATTTTGTATTCTAGTGTTTCTCAATAGATTCATAGAAGTCTTACAGCACAGACCTGCTGATGAACCATGCAGGATAAATGTGCCAATCCATTTCCTTATGATACTCATTTTTTGATTTCTAGCCCAACTTCACAGAGGGTTTTTTTGTATGATGTACATAAATTTGAGGGAGGACCTTTTAAAACCAAGAGAACCAGCATTATAAAGAGGCGGGTAAACAATTCTTTTCAAGTTCCTCAACATTTTCCATTCCTTTAGAACAGAAGTGTAATCATGCAAAACGCCTAAAATGGCTTCCATTACAAACTTTGTTATAAAATGTCATTATCACCTGTGTTTGGATATTTTAAGAGTTTAATCTGTACTTACCTCTTCTAGTGTTAATAGGCCCACCTCGCATTGCCAGTACTAGCTTCAGAGTGCAGCCATCTGAAATGCTGCAAATAATCAACAAAAACAGTGAAGTTTTGTAGTATTCTCTGTCTCCAGAAGTAATAGCTACATTCAGAACTTACACAGGAAGTGGAGGCAATTTCAAATATAGCATGGTCTATCTGCTTATCAATTAACGTATAGTGAAGTTTTATTTTACACTCACTTGTAATCATTCAAGCAGTAGTCATCCTCCAGTTCCACATTATTCCATATTAAATGCTGTTGAGAGACAGGAATACCTTTGAAAAGATTAGAATAAAAATTGGTTAATTTTTTAGTGCACAGTAGCATTTTAACCAGAAAGACTCAGATAACTAAGTTTCTGATCTGCACTATTTAGTACCATGACACACACAATATATGCACTGAAATATACTGCAAGAGAGAAAGTTTTGACTAGAAATATCCTATCCCAAGTCATATACGCAACACTGTACTGTGAAGCTGAGCTCTACTCAGCCCCTACTACTGGAAAGAATATAGCTAAGCTTCCTACCACACTAATGCTCCAGTCTTCATATTTTGGATCAAACCCTGGTTAACAGGTGTTTCCAGTAAGTCTGATGCATGAAAGGAAAACAGTTCCTCTCCTTTCCTCCCTAGAGATCCTGGCTTTTTGGAAAAAATGCTGAAGATAGTTTTTCTATGCACTTGCAGTGGACACTGTTTTTACTTGTTCATAACTACCTTTTCCTTACTGCTGTACAAATAAATCATTTTGAGGAAACAGATAACCCTACCCATTACTAACACTGTAACCAGGGCTCAGTAACCTATGGTCTGTTGCCTGGATTTGGCCCAGAATCACTGGGGTTCAGTGCATGGGGTTTTGCCTGCGGTAGGCCAAAGCTGGCCAGCAGGGACAAGCAGTGGTGGCAGTTGGTCTTAGCACCTGCTTAACTTGGACCTGAGCTGCGTCATACAAGCCCGCCACCAGAAAAATAGCAACTGCTGCTGTATATCATTAAAGTTGAAATAGATTTCAATACTTATACTGTTTTACTTTCAGAGCTTAAAACCCTAACCAGTGATAAGTAGGAAGTCTCCCTGAGAAATGTGCACTGGTGCCTGCATGGCTGGGCTTTATTAATCAGGGTTTCTCAAATTCTGCTTCTCATTACAACAAGAGGATATCTACTATGATTCAGTAGCTCTTTACAGTCAGAATAAAAGATGCACAAATTGCACTGAGGCAGTTTCCGAGTCTAAAAATGCTAAATCAATTTTGTGGTATTTTCCACAATCCAACCCCAATCTTGAACCTTATGGGTCAGAAGCAGAAAGCAACATTTGGCTACAGACCTGCTGGGCAATTTCTAGATTAACTTTTTGTACTTCTCTTAGCACGGGTAATGACCACTGCTATATCAGGAATTCCAGATAAGTTCTCTCCACTACTCAGAAGCAGCCATAGTGCACGAAAGATTCTGGCAATTTAAAGTGTTTTTAGTATTGCTGTCTGCTAAATTTGAACCTTCATTTTTCACCTTTGCACCACTCCTCCTTACTTAGGCTACAGCAGGGATGGAGCCTGCCTGCATGGAGCAGAGGCATGGAGGACAGCAGGGGTTTTCAAACTTTTTAAAGGAGTGTGCCCAGAGATGTCACTAGGGGTGTGCAGGGTTGAGGGGGTGACAAGCAACTGGAGTGGGGGGCGGGGTGTGCAGAGTGGCAGCAGCGGTAGGCAGGTAGCTTGCACGCGGCAGCTCCCACAACCATTCACCACTCCACACCACCACCATGCACTGCTTCCCCACACCTCTGCGCGTACCCTCCTGGGGCCATCCAAAGTACCCCCAGGATACGCACACGCCCGGTTGACAACCCTCGTGTTATGGGGCTGGGCTGGAACAGCAATGCTGACTCTATGCTGATGCTATGGGGCCAGGCTGGAGCCATGTTCTGTGCCCCAGGTAGGGTGACTACCTGTCCCTAATTGGGCAGGACAACCACCGGAGTGGGAATGTCAAGTCCCAGTCCCAGGCTGCATGACTCTGGGACAGGATTTGTCCTGGATTCGCAGTGTCATGCAGGGACCTGGGTTTTCTCTTCACTATAGAAAACCACAGGAAATGGCGGGTTTCCCCTTGCAGGCTGGCAGTGTTCCAGCCTGCAAGGGGCTGCTGGGAGTGGGAACAGGAGGCACCACGTGCATGTGCATGCCCACACACATGTCCATGGCCAGAAATACAGCTAGGCAGTGTGGAAACAGCTCCCTGCAGGTAAGTCTATAAGGGGGAGGAGGTATAGGAAGAGCCGGGGGAGGGCAGGGGAGGGAGATTGAGGCCCCCATGATGAGGGAGGGAGTAGGGAAGGGGGTTGGAGGCACTGCCCTGCCAGGGTGTTGCATGGGGCCTGGGGGCAGGGCATGGAGCAGGACGTAGCCACAGACAACTCATCCAGGGGTGGCTCCCTGCTGCTGCACACTCTCAGGGAGGCATGAGGGGGGCACATGCCCCCCAAATTTGTGCACAGGGGCAGATGCAGGCTGACTGCTGCAGCCTCGGGGCTCCCTGCCCTGCTACCCTCCCGCTAGGAGCCTTGTGCTGGCCATGCTGACAGAGGGGATCTGGCAGCAGCAGGGACAGTGGTGGTGGCAGTGTGGAGTTGTGCACCCCACTGCTACCAGGTGGGCAGGGGGTACATGGCCAGAGTGGGTTTCCCAGGGGAAAGGCAGGAGGACGGGGGGGCCCTGAGCCTGCATCTGCCCTGCTCTGCTCCACTCAACTCTGCTCTGGCCATGCCACCAAAGGTGGGAGGGGGCCTGTGTTCCACTTTTCCATTTTGAAAAGGTTATCCTAGCCCTAGGCTGCAGCAGAGATAGAGCATGCTGGTGCAAAGCGAAGGGGAGGGTGGGGGGAGTGGAAGGACAGGCAGGAGGGACAGACTTTGGGATGGGGGGGGCGGCAGACGGGAGGAAAGTGGGGCGGGGACCCAACGCTGCAGATGGCAGGCACAATGAGGGGTAAGTGTGTGTGGGGGGGTCAGGCATCAGGGTGAAAGCTGCCTGCCTCTCACTGCCTGCCACCACCTCCACACTGCCTGCCCTCTACTATCTACACTCCCACTGCTTGCCCCATTACTGTCCCCTACTGCCCACCATCTACTCCATTACGGCCACCCGCATCACCTCTGCCCCTACCACCTGCAGTAGTGGGGTGGGGGGGGAGCAACAAATTTAAAATGACCTTCCAATGATGAGATTCCATACATTATATAATTATATTCTTTAAATAATTTTAATATATGTGGAAAATTATAATAAGTTAATACATTTCCATAAATTGAATCTAATTATTTGGGAGTCGTCTTACATTCAGGGTTGTCTTATATCCAGGGAAATACAGTACATTTATGGTGAGAAAGTTGTTAACAAGACCCTGAACTGATTATTTTCAGTAGAGAAACAGTTTTAAATGTGAAACTTTGTAACAGAATCCATAAAAAACCTCAAGTTTCTGAGGAAACTACTGAGAATAAGTACAAAATATCCACTTTAATCATTTTAAACTACAGCATGGAAAGTAAAGAATTAGCAACACAAAGAAATCTGATTTCGTTATTTTTTTAATTAAAAAAAAAATTTTAATCCACCTTGTTCTATGGTTAGATTAAGCCACGTGAACTGTTTGGATAAATTAATGTAATTTTTTGGCAAAGTATAAGATTAACTATGACCACTATGAATAACAACAATTAGATTAATAAAGTGTTCTGTCATCTTTAATATACTTAAACTCCTGTCTTTTCATTCTTGTTTTACCCTACTTGTCTATAATGGATTTTTTTTTGCCTATTGTGTCAGAGACATGCATTCTGAAAGATTAGGAGTGAGATTAAAAGTATTTAAGAGACTAAGTCTATAATGTAATATGCTGCCATTTATTGAGTTGACAGATGAAGTAGTACCCTAGTAACAGACTAAAGACAGTTCTGATTTGAATTATGTCCAAGCTCTTGTCAGAAATATGCTTCAAAGGAGAGGTGGAACATGTGAAGTTCCAGTGACTAATTTGTGTTGTCAGGATTTATAAAAAGCAGTGAAAGAGAACAACGCTGTATATAATGTTTCTCAATCTGTACAGAATTTAATATAGAAGTTACTAAATGACTCATACTTAGAAATCAGCATGTATTTTCTAATAATTAGCTCTCCCTGTAATAAACACTCAAATATTAATTGTTTAATTTAAAGATGAATGCACAGTATTGTAACAGGGTGGCAAAAAGTAGCATATTTATCAGGTATACTCAATTTTTGGGAAGCTGTTCTTTAAAAATGTAATTAAAACCTAAACAAGTCATCAAAAACCTAGGTTACATGGCAGCAAGAACAAGTATTTTGTTTGGCTAAGAACTAATATTAATAGTTGAGAAGTATTAGAGTAAACATGAAAGGTCTGAAGTAGAGTCCCTTAATTTTAGGGATTTTCCCCTCCATACCATTTATTCATTAAAAGGGAACTATCACAAAAATAAGATTTGATAGAAACATTTGTCCGGTGCCTTCACTAAATATGTTTACATGTAAATAGTCAGGCACCTTCATGGAAGGATTTAGGATTTTGAAAAAGGGGTCCAGGTGGGGCTCACCATCACATAAAACACAACACACATTTTTCTACAGGTGGGCGGATGAGAATAGGATGGGATTCAATACGGACAAGTGCAAGGTACTGCACCTAGGGAGAAAGAACCAGCAGCATACCTATAGGCCGGGGAACTCCCTTCTCGTCAGCACAGAGGCAGAAAGGGATCTTGGAGTCATTACTGGGTCCACGATGAACATGGGCCACCAATGTGAGGATGCAGTCAGTAAAGCTAACTGCACCTTGTCATGCATCTACAGATGCATCACAAGCAGATCCCTGGATGTGATCCTTCCCCTCTATGTGACATTGGTCAGGCCACAGTTGGAGTACTGTGTCCAGTTCTGGGTGCCACACTTCAGGAGGGATGTGGACAGCACTGAGAAGGTCCAAAGGAGGGCCACTCACATGATCAGGGGGCAGCAGGGCAGGCCCTATGAAGAGAGGCTACGGGACCTGAACCTGTTCAGCCTCAATAAGAGAAGACTGAGAGGGGATCTGGTGGCCTTCTATAAACTTACCGGGGGGGAACCTGCAGGGAACAGGAGAGTTCCTGTTCCCCTGAGCACTACCAGGGGTAACTAGGAATAACGGCCACAAGTTGATAGAGAGTAGGTTCAGGCTAGACATCAGGAAGCACTACTTCACAG